CAAGCCCAAACAGAAGTCCATTACTCTAAAATCATTAGTCCATTATGAGCCCAAACCAAAGGATAAGTCCAAGACCAAGCTAGCCAACAATCAAAGAGCCCAAACTTGCACAGGGGATTTTCACGTCATGAGCACTTCATGCTCACGTCGTGAGATCGTGGCTTTTTCCCAGAAACTTCCTCGACACGTTCTCACATCGTGAAGTCTTATTCCTCACATCGTGAGGCCGGATCTAACCAAAAGAAATGAGCATTAAGCTCCTAATCCATTAGGCCTTAACATGGGACTATCTAGAGGGTCTTCCTTGACCCCAAGGACCATAAAAATCGAAGCTTTTCAGTCATGTGTGTCCAATACATGACTCAAACACCAACTTAGGCCAAAATGAAGGAAAAAGGACCAAGACTTAAACTTGGAGTCCATAACCATGACCAAAATCCAGATCTGAGACTTATAAGAATTAAGATACCACTATGATCCATAAAGTTGCCCACTTTATGGATCCGATGCATGCTAACCAACATTACAAGCCATAAAATGCACGAAAACTTAGATCTAGCAATAAAGGAGAGAAAAGGCATGAGCTTGAGGACTTACAGAGGGCCAAAAGCTCCACAACTAGCTGATGATGAAGCCAAGATGCTAACAAATGCACCACCAATGATCTTCTTCTCCCTCAATGAGCTTCAAAGACCCAAAAGCTATTGAATAACACCAAGAATGACCAAGAACTTCAATGGGGGCTGAGATTAGGGTTTCCAGAGGTCATGGGAGTGAAGGAGGATGAGGAGGAGCAACCCTAATCATCTCATAACTTTAAATATCCGGAAATAAGGGTTTTGGGGACCAGGTGCCTCTCACGTCGTGAGCTCTACATGCTCACGTCGTGAGCCTTAAATGAGCTTGGTCAACAAGTCAACGATCACTCACCCGAACCACTCCAACTTCAAACGGCCATAACTTCTTCGTTTCAACTCCGATTTCGACGTTCTTTATATCCACGGAAAGGTCTAGAAGAGCTCCACCTTTATATCAACTCCCATTGCCATAAAACTTTCCGAAAAAAATCTAATTCCATAAAAGGCCCGAACTGCCACTTTATCGATATACCCTTGGTCTCCAAAAACACAAACCGAACTCTCAGATCATCAAAGCTACATGACCCACACTCAAATGGGTCTAAACCTTTATTCCCCAACATCTGAAGCCTCCTGATAACATATATTCGGGTCACTGTCCCGAATATGAATTGGCTTAAAACAGGATGTTACATTATGTATTTTAGGTTCAATAAAGCCACAAGTATGCGTAAATTTTACGTTTTTACCCATTTATCAGGTTACCAAGTTACCTCTAGGTTGCATATACACATGGCACGTAATGTAGATACCGATTAGGTTAAATATATTGGCATTACGCTGATGTGGACTGCCATATCAACATGTTTCCTTTACCTTTTAAAAAATGTGAATATATAAAATTGAAGCTAGCAGGAGTCGAAACCTAATTCCTCCCGCCCACAAACAACCCAACCTACCACTAAGCTAAAGCAATTTTTTTTATCTCTTGAACGTCCATATATATTGCATAACGTTGAAAGATTTTAAATACAATTTATATTATTATTATTATTATTATTATTATTATTATTATTATTATTATTATTATTTTAAATACAAACTCGCAACAAAATGAAAAGTTTTGACGTCTGATGCTAATCCAAACCTTTTAGCACGAAAGTGACAATTTTCAGCTAACCACAAAGACCATTCTTCCAGGTGCGCGACATGTTGCGGGTTGCGCAGAGTCGCCAGAGAGTTACGCTGACCAACGCCGTTCGGACCTTGAGTTTCAGGTGGGAGACTTTGTGTTTATAAAGGTGTCACCTTGGAAATGTGTTATACGATTTTGGAAGCGGGGTAAGCTGGGTCCTCGATTCATTGGCCCTTTCAGGATTACTGCCCGAGTAGGCACGGGTTGCATACTGGTTGGATCTTCCTGATGAGCTTAGTCAGATCCATAATATTTTCCATGTGTCCAAGTTACAGAAATGTGTAGCCGATGATTCAACGGTGATCTCGTTGGATGATATTCAGGTGCATGAGCGTCTGAGTTATGTGGAAAATCCGGTCGCGATTCTTGATAGGAAAACTAAAACTCCGTGTAACAAGGTGGTGAACCTAGTGAAGGTGCAATGGCAGCACCGTAAAGGCTCTAAGTGGACATGGGAGTCGGGGGACGAGATGAGAGAGCACTACCCAGATTTATTCGCATCAGCGAACTGTGATGACGAATTCTAATTCAAGTGGGGGAGATTTGTAACACTTGGACCCATGTATTTTCCCTTTTAACCCTTGAAGAAAAAATTAAATTTCGAAAGGAGTCCCCACATACGCTGGGCGTACGTTTATGTACACTTAGCGTACATGGGCATGTGGAAGCGGGAACCCAAGCCACGTACGCGGGGCGTACGTGGCCAATGCTAAAACCCTAATTTTAGGGCATGATCCATATTTAAGCTCACTTATTATTATTATTTTAAATACAAACTCGCAACAAAATGAAAAGTTTTGACGTCTGATGCTAATCCAAACCTTTTAGCACCAAAGTGACAATTTTTAGCTAACCACAAAGACCATTGTTGCAGTTTTGTCTTAGTTTTATTACAAATTTGATCCGAATTTAAAATTTTGTAATTAATTTGTCCAAATTTAGTTTTTTTTTTAAATATTTTGCTACAACTTTTTAAGATTTTTTTGTAATGGTTTATAAGAATTCTCTCTGAAATTTTTTCCCACTTAAAAAAAAATTATTTTACAATATTTTCATAACTTTTTTTGCAACTTTTTGCATTGCCTTATATACATCAGCAAATTGAATTTTTTTGTGATTTTTTGACAATTGAATTTGATGAAATAAGTCAAATACCGTATATGATTTAAAATCCGAAGAAATAATAAAACAACCCGTCACAACGAGACATCGGGGAAACCATGCATCATGCTGAGCGTATGCGTACGTACGCCCATCGTACCCCCTTTGTGACCATTTCTCATTTTTATCGCTTAATGCTTAAGACAAAAACGTCCAAACTCATATCTAACCTCTAAGGGATGTCTTAAGTCATAAAGTTCTTGACTTTATGACTTTACATGGCTTAATGGGGTCCAAACCAAAGCCCTAAGTTTCAAACTTCATCAAAAGACCACCGGTTCATGCATGGAATGAGTATACTTATCAAGATCTGCTTTTTATGACTTAATGACCTCAATAAAGACCAAATATGAGGCTCAAAGGTTCTGGAATAACTTCTACTCATAAGAACCATAACCATGGGACCAAAACATGACAAATCATAACCTCAAAGTAGATCTACATGAGAAAGCCATCAAGATTAAAACTTTATACCTCCAGAAGCTAAATCAAGATGAACAAGGCCTAGATCTACAAGCTCCAAGACAACCAACACTTCTCCAAGGAGTTTTTCTTCTTCCAAATGCACTAAGAATCGACCCAAAATCACTCCAAGTCTCAAAATCCTTCCAAATGGGGCTAGCATTTCGAATTTGGGGTTAGAGGGGATGAAGGCTGAAGATGGAGGGTTCGAAATGAGTTAAGACCTTTAAATAGGGTCCAAGACCCTAAATTAGGGTTTGCATCTGACTGGAGTACGCCCATCATACTCCAGGTACGCCTAGCGTACTCAATGGCACTCCGCGATCGTCCCAGTCCAATACGCCTAGCGTACGCCCAACGTACTTGGCTTAGCCCAAAACCCTTATAACTTCAAATGATCATAACTTCTTCGTTCCAACTCCGTTTTCGATGATTCTTATATCCACGGAAAGGTATTGAAGAGCTCTATAACCCTATATAATTACTTTTGACTTAAAACACTTCGAACTAAAATCCTTAATTCATGAAAGGCCCGAACCATCACTTTTACCATTATACCATTGGGTTGCAAAGCACAACCGAACTCTTGGATCACAAAAACTAAATTACGCACATCCATATGGGTCTAAACCTCACTTTCCTCAACGCCCGAAGCCTTATGATAATTGATCTTCGAGTTATGGCCCCGGATTATGAAACGACTCGAAATTGGGTGTTACATTTTTTAGTTGAACCGGTATGGTGATTGGTTCCCGGTTTAACCGCTTCGACCGTCGGGTCAACCAGTTTCTGTAATTTTCATTTGTTTTCCTATTTTTCTACACACACAGAGACATCTGCAAATTTAAACATTAAAAATACATACAAATAAAAGTTGTAGATCAATCCAAATGCATTAAAAAAACAAATAACCATAAGTTTTACATCAATCCACATATATCAAAAAGAAAATAAAATATAATACGGAAAAAATATAGTTTTGGATGAATACAAATGCATGAAAAAACTTCATAACATTTACCATATGTTTTTATTCAAATAAATCTAAATAGATGTGAAAAAATACCAAAATTTGTTATGCAAAATGATTCATTTTCGTTTGTTTTTATTTAATTTAACCGGTTCAACTCGATTTTGATGAAAACCGGCAGGTTCATTCCGGTTCAGAAATAGACATAAAGCTAATTGAACCGTTTTCTTCTTTGGTTCCCGGTCCAACCAGTTCGACCGACCGGTTAAAACCGATTTTTAAGACATTGGTTTAAATATACCATTAAAATGGAGCAAATATTTTTGTGATTCCTCAATGAAAGTGCATCTTATTATATAACATAAATTTCAACATTTGACAAGAATATATGGATTTCTCAAAGTGATTACTAACTAAAGCTAAACTGTCTGTGGACTGTCATTATTTACATAAATGATTTCACAATATTGCCAAATTAGTGGTTAATTATCATGCGATATACATAAAAAGGAGGATGATAGGTGATAGGTTCATGATAATACATCTCTGATTTTGGTATTTTGTGATCTCCAAAAAAATTGAATGCTAAAATCACTATTATATTTTCTTATATTAGTATATTCGATACCCTTTGATATAAAACAAGAGATTCTGTTATCCCAAATAGGATTGCCATATTGCAGGGTACATATTGCAAGATATAAAATACAACTTATCACACAAAATGAGATACATTAATAAAATCGTCTACAAAAGGAGATAGAATCAACTGTTGACTTTCCTGCAAATCTTCCTGACTTCACCACTCTTACCGGTCAACGGAGTGATGTTTCCCATTTTAACCATCGACTTGGCAAACTGCTGGAAGAAAAGCTCTTGATTTGCCGCATACTGCTTCACATACTGCATCGTTTGCTGGTTCTGAGTAAACAATATCTCATCAGAGCTTAGAAGCCCCTTCGAAGCTATCAAGTTCTTGTAGTAACTGTTATCGAACTTCGTCGGTGACACAGGATCCAAGAAAAACAGGTTCTGATCGCCGCCGGATCTCGGGCAGTTCTGACGCAGTTTTGCAGCATAAGATTGGTCTAACGATAAATCCGGCTGCCCATTGCCGGAGTTGTTGTATAACCTTTGCCTGAAACTAGTGCACCTAGCGTTTCCGATTGTGTGACTTCCTAAAAAATTAAATACCATAACCTTTATCAGGTAACTATTTTCGAATTTAAACCGAGTTTTCAAGATTTTCTTGAACTTTAACCCAGTTTCCAAGATTTTCTTACCAGATAGAGTAACGAAATCAACAATGTCAAGACCCTTGAGCTTAAACTTGGTGAGAATGGTCTGAAAGGTATTGTTTGGAGCTGGGATATTTTGGTTAGAACCACTCAAGCTTGCACCTAATGAATCCCTTCTTCCCAATGGCACTTCCCAACTAGGTCCACCAGCCTGCATGCACAAGTTTAAAACATGTTTATTTCATTTACAGACAACAAAATCGAAACTTTTATACATGGATTACGATACGTACCAGAACAGTCGAGTCTCTTGCTGCCAAAGCCAAGGCGTCCGCACAGGAGACAGTCTGAGGGCAAGCCTTCTCCAATGCAGCTTTGATTTGGTCAACAACTTCGAACCCGCGAGCTGAGTTTCGGTTAGGAACGGACCCCTTCTCGCTAATGATGCTTCCACTATTGTCTAGAAGTATTGAACCATCACAACCCTTTATGATATCATTTGGTTGCAAAAGAAAGTTAGTTTTCTAATCAAATGATGCGTTTTTGTAGCAGTGCGTGGGTTAAATATAGGCATTAATTATGATTAAGAACAAACTACCTTTACGAAACAGTCATGGAAATGGAGTCTGAGCAATGAAGCAGCCATGCGAGCCTCTTTTGCGACAGCTTTTGTCACAACAGACCTAACGATGTCTTTAGCCTGTGGGCAGGAGTGGTCGTAGAACTGAGGGTAGAGGTTGGATGCATTGTTTAGAGCTAGGATAGATATGAAGACGATGATCATGGTGATTGAGTGAGCCATTGTGTTCATGTGATGCAGCTAGCTTTGAATGAAGACGTTATGGTCAATGGAAGGTTTGTGTTGTGATTTGTATAAGAAGTGGAACCTAGATTCATGTATTTATAGACGAATCATTTTGCTTTTGTATCAACATGTAAGCTTTTAATTAGTTTAATTGGTTAGCTTGCCAATAACTTTTCAGTATATTTTTTAAATACTAAACAATTCTTATATTAAATATAATAATAGAAAATATTGTTAAGAAATGATTTCATTATTTTGAATAAACTGATTTGAAAAGGATGGAAATTATTGAAGCGCTTTTAACTACTCCTAAGACATTCAAATATGTCTTAGTTAACATCTTTGCTACAAGTATAAATTGAAGTATTGAACCCATTAAAATAGAATATAAAACACATAAACACACATACATGTAGAGGTGAGTATTTGGGCCTCCGGACCGGCCCTAGACCTGGACCTAGTAAGCCTTAACAGGTCGGGTCCCAGGTCCACAAATTTCTGCAAAATCGGTCTGGTCTAAGTTCTATCAATTCCTGCAAAATCACTATGGTCCAAATGCTAAACATACATTGTGAATGCTGAAAATTGAGTTATATGTGGTTCAGATTCACAATGTGAATAATTGTAAGTCAGATCCACATTGTAAATCCTTAAAACTGAATTGTATACAGTTCAAATTCACAGAGTGAATAAATCTACTTTCGAATTTTACAAAATTAAATATCTTTTTTTTAAATAAAAAACCCTACTTTGTTTTGTTGTTTTTTTAACATTTAGGGTTACTTTTTATTGAACAGATAAAATAAATATAGCAAAATTCATATATTTTTTTTATTTTTTTAAATGGACTTTCATAAAAAATTGCAAAATTTTAGTTCAGATTCACATTGTCAATATGTTCAAAACTGAATTTTATACAGTTCAGATTCACAATGTGAATAAATTCATTTGTGAATTTTACAAACTAATTTATAAATAATCAAAACGTTGAAATATTATAAAATAAAAGGAAATATACTTCGATTCACAAGTAAATTTCACTAAATTAATTTGTAAATAATCAAAGAGTGAAAGTAATAAGTCCGATTCACATTGTGAATGTTATAAACTGAAATATTTACACGTCATACTAACAGTGTGAATCTGATCAGATCAAGATGAAAAAATATATTTTTTATATCGACATTGATATCTATTTATAGAAAACAAAAACTTAAAAATTTAACTATACTTAGTTTTTTTTGTGATAAAAAATAAACCTAAACATTTGAAAAAAAACCAACAAAATGGAGATTTTTTTCGAAAAAAAGTTTGTTTTTTATATATAAATATTGATGTCTATGGAAAGAGAATAAAAAATTATGAATTTTGGTATATTCGGTTTTGTTTTTGATACGAAAAAAAAAACATTGCCTAAAAAAATTAAACTGTAACATCCCAAAATTCAAGACCAAAAATTTCATTTTCAATTAAGTTATTATAAAACCAACAGTATAAGAAAACATTCATAATAACATATCTTGTCAAACCAAAGTGTCAATAATCAAAACATGTTATCATAAAACAATATCAGAGTGTAATCCCAAAGATCTCATGTGTGGAAAACATAGTGTGATGCGCTGTGATCAAGCCGGCTCCTTTCCTTTGAAAACGAAGTACCTGAAACCAAAACTGAAAACCGTAAGCACGAAGCTTAGTGAGTTCCCCCATCATACCACATACCATACAATATACATATTGTCTAACATATCCGGGTACTAGACTACCCCTTCGGTCTCTTTCAACCGGTAACTGCCTAGCATAACAGGGTGCTGGCCTACCCCTTCGGTCCTGTCGACCGGTACCTCGCCTAGCATATCAGGGTGTTGGCCTACCCCTTCGATCCTTTTGACCGGTACCTCGCCTAGCATATCAGGGTGCTGACCTACCCCTTCGATCCTTTCGACCGGTACCGGGGACTATTTCACCCTTACTTCTACCATATATCATACTATCTCATAAACACATAAATCATATACTGCCTAGCTTATCAGAGTGCTGGCATACCCCTTCGGCCCTATCGACCGGTACTAGGGTCTATCCTACCCCCTACCACAATCACATAACATCATAGCATACTAGCACATAAAGCATAACAGATAGTGACATACCAGATAATTATCACAAAGACAATCATCTCTACTATAGCTCTTACTAGTGGGCCGACATTGGTGCCTTCGACCCACTTCTACTGTAAGGTAACTCACCTCACACTGCTGAAGTCTCGCGAACAAAACTCTAGCTGCTGGATGATAGATTCCCGAACTGTCAACATCAAAATAACACCCAATTAATAATTGGGTTCCAATACATAACCGTAAGTCCATGCTTGGGGTAAAAGACTACTTTACCCCCATCTTAGCTTGATTCAACCTCAAGGCCCAATCCAAAGGCCCAAAAGTCAAACTATTAACCAAAGCCCAACATATGGCCCAATTTTCCAAATTGGGCCCAAACCGTTACATGGTCCTACCCTAAGGTCCAACCATTTCTTCCGGTCCAAAAATTTGGCATTCCAATGGTCCAACCTCTTATGATCCTCAAGGCCCAGTTATGACCCATTTATGGCCCAATTTTCCAAATTGGGCCCAAACCCTCACATCGGCCTTACCCTAAAGCCAATTCAAATATTCTAATCCAAATACTTGTCCTTGGATAGCCCATAAATAGTCCAATAACCTAAGCCGAATAAAAAGGCCCAACTCAAGGCCCAAGCAAAATTAGGGTTTTCACATAAAATGACGATTAGGGTTAAGTGTTTCTTACTTAACCCAGTAAGGACTTAATCCATTAAGTCCATCACTCTACTAGGTCAACTTACAATGTGGTCGGGATTAATTCATGATTCCAATCCAATGGTCCAAACTTGCGGGTCATGAGAATTCCAAATTAACATATACAAAATTAGGGTTTTCTAAACCCTAATTAGGAATTCCAATCCAATCACATCCCAATTAGTCTATTTGTTAAAGTTTTAGGTTAATTAACTGTTAATTTAGTCGGGCACCACCCACTACCACCTCGGGTAGTGGTGGTCAATGGCAGCTCACGGCGGCGGCCACCACCTGACGGTGGTGGTGACAGATTCCCTTAATTATTCCGGTCAAAGTACAATATTACAACGAAATATTCAAATGAACACACACACACACAGATAACACCTACACACACACCCAGCCACCCTCGTGGCGGCAGACGATGGTTGGAGGTGGCAGCCACCACCTCACAGTGGTGGTGGTGGATTTTCTTGTGAATTCCGGCCAAACAACACCACACACACCACACTCCAACAACGGAAACACACCCACACACGCTTCTGTTCGCAAAGCATCCAGTCACCGACCTGGTGGCGTACGGCGGCGACGATGACACGAGATGGCGGCAACAGCAGCGGCACCACCGGCGGTCATGGCGTTTGGCAGCAACTGAAGGTGGAACATCAACACACGAACACGAACGACACCTCCGACTGAGCTATCCACGAGAAACCGGTGACAACTTTGTCTTCAACGGAACCGGGCAGCGGCGGCGCCAACGGAGCTGAGACGCAGCGACGACGAACAGAAGAAGGAGGAGGAGTGAATACGGCGAGGGAGGTGGCGGTTAGCTGAGAATCAATGGTTGCTCGGAGACTTAGGCTGAACGAAAACGATTCACGACGTCCAATAGTAGGACATCGACAGCGGTGGCGCCATCGGCCGGAGATTGCGACGGCAGTGGCGCTATCGATTTGTTCCCTTCATTTCCGTCTGAACGACGACATCCCACGTCAGTCTTCATCTTTAGCAACCACGAGATAGTAGCGGTTGCGACACTCGACATGGCGGTGGCTACGGTGGTCGGAGCCGATAACGGCGGCTGGAGGGGAGCGGGAGGTATAAGGTGGTGGCTAGGTATCTTTAGGGTTAGGGTTACCGGGGTGACGGGTTATATACCCAGAGCCCCATAAAACTTTATCTCATAATAACAACATTGGTCCCTCATTCTCCCTTTTCCTTCAAAACGAATCCATAATTTACCCTTTTAGCCCCAGCCATCCAAAACCCCTTCAAATTAAGTCCAAATAATTTACCAAGCAGCCCCTCCCTCTACAAATTATTTTCAACTGAAGTCTTTATGTTACCAAATGGCCCCTCCTCTACAAAACCTTTTCAACTTAGGTCCAGAATTTACTCTTTAGCCCCTGCTTCCATAAATCCTTTCATATGAAGTCCAAATGATACCAAACACCCCCTGTCTTCTAATAATCTTTACAAAATAAATCTCAAATTTAAACTTTAACCCCCGAATAACCAAATTATAACATTTGGCTCCCCAAAACCAACTGTGACAACCCGAAATTTCTATTCTATACAACCATTCACTTCAATAGGAGTCAGAACTGTTTCTGCTAATTTTCAAGCTTTTTGGAATAAGTTTGAGCATTTTAAGATTAGTACTTCAGGAGATACCAGGAGAGAGGATGCCCTAGGGTTTATTGTGCAACAATAATATCCCAAAACTCCAAGAGTTTGGAGTTTACGGCCTAAACAAAGGTGTTTACGGCCGTAAACCCTGAAAGAGGGTATAAATATGACACTTAGTCATTATTTATCACTTTTCACATTTTCAAGATCCAAAACTCAATTCTCTCTCAAGTATCATCGACTTTTCTTCTTGATCTTTAACATTGTAAGTGTTTCAAGCCCTAAAAAGTTGATATCTTGCTTAATCTAGTGATCTAACATGATTCCATCCGTGAAATCATTCCAAAAGTGTAGATCTTCAAATTTCACCAAGAACACCAAGAACACACACTAGTGTTCTTGGACTTTTAGCACCTTTTCAAGCTTCTACTTGTAAGTACTCTTACCCTAGTGTGTAATAGGGCTTGTTATACTTCTTAATCAACTAGAAAACACCAAGAAACAAAGGATCAAAGGTGTTTACGGTCCAAGAACACCTTGGACCGTAAACCCTATTAAGGGTGCCAAAGTGTGCCCTAGTTCCTTCTAAGCCTTGGAAACTAGTCTAGACCCCTTCCTTGATG